CAGGTGAGGGTCTCTAGATTTTATCAGAGCTGGCCTGCCCACCTCCGCCAGATCTCAGTGGGCACTGCCGGACCTCAACCGCGAGCGCCTGCGAGCGCCAGACGTCAGGGGCACTGCCGGACCTCAACTGCGAGAGCCAGATCTCAGTGGGCACGGAGGGGCCTCAATTGCGAGTGCAAGATGTCACACAGAATGCCAGATAGACTGTCAGAAGAGATGTCGCATAGAATGCCTGCTAGAATGTCAGAGAGAACTCCCGATAGAATGCCAGCATGAATGCTTGAAAACATGCCAGATAGAAAGCCAGATAGAAATCCAGATAGAACTCAGAGTAAATGCCAAATAGAATACCAGAATGAATGCTTGAAAAGATGCCAAATAGAATGCCAGAATAGATGCTAGAAAGATCTAGGCAGAATGTCAGAATAGATGCTAGATAGAATGCCAGGAAGAATGTCAGAATATATGCCAGAAAATACATCAGAATAGATGCCAGATAGAATGCCGGAAAGGATGCCAGATAAAATGTCAGAGTACATGCCGGAAAAAATATCAGATGGAGTGTCAGGAAAAACATATACATATAGACGTACAAGTAGCCGCAAATACTTCCGGACGGTATGATGCTCACTGTGGCGGATTTTTCCCCAACCCGAACAGTACCAGGCGAGAGAGGTACTCCTCCGTGAAGTAGCCGGACATTTTATTTTTTTCGGACTCTGGCTGGACCATACCGTTTGATACTAACTTGAATGCCATAGGCCATTGGTTCCGTGCACCCCTGTCGAAGCATTGGAGTCATAGATCCATGCCTCTGGGGCTCTCCGGACCCGGCAGAGAATGTCACAATAATTATATGTCAAGACTGCTACATAGACTGCCAGAATGCCAGATAGAGTGTTAGATGACATGTCAGATAGAATTCCAGATGTCAGATAGAATGCCAGATAAACTGTCATAATAAACTTTGCATAGAATGTCAGAACATGTGTATTTATTACACATGCCACAAAAAATCATGTTAGAAGTCCGCAATTTTTGTGGAACCCCAGTATTCTCGAGCTCCAGAAGGGCAGCGCTCCGAGATTCGCCCACTTTCACGATGCTCGAGGATGATGGTTGGCCCGTAACGTTACCCCCGTGTTGTTGGTGCCAATCGGATCTTTTGCCCTTGTATAACCCCTTGAAACAAGTGGTTTGTCCGAAAATTGTACCTTGAAGTTCCAGGTTTTTTTTAACCGTTTTGCTGTTGGACTGGCAAACCCATATCGAAACCGGAAGAAACTCCCGCTGAGGGTAAAAAAATCTAAAGTTTAGCATCGGATCATGACAGATTCGACGGATTTGGACGCGGCAGGTGCAAGAATGTCACTTTGGCTACGAGAGATCGAACTGGGATATGCTGCGATTGCTCCTGAGTACGCGCCCGCCGAACACCGCAGATGCAGCTGACGGTGACATTGGTGCCGCTTGAAGCTAGTCCTTTTATTTGATTTTGGTGTTACATTATAATATATATATAGTAATTTGATCACCGTAGCTTGGTCCTGGCTTCCCTGTTACCAATCCTGTCAGCCTCCCCAAGCTCAGCCCTCGGGGCCGGCATTTCAAGCCACCGGTCACTGCGGCGAATTTCGACCCATGGCCGTAGAATCCATAGAGATGCATGCAACGTTGCTCGCAACGTTCGCGCGACGAGCTCCTGCCAAGTTTCACTGGTAAACCAATCTCCATATGGGGTGTTGATGATGTTTGATGATTGCATTCCATGGCATGGCTTGGTGGTATGGAAAAAAAGCGTCAAAATTCTGAAGGATGTGGAGGGGATTGGAGTGCGAAGGTTTGCATGGCAGTAATTTGATTGCAGATGTGGGTGAATTACCAGTCGACACTGATCGACCATAGATCATGCCTATCCAAAATTCAGCCACATGATGAAATGCAATGAAATGCATGGATCCGAAAGCGGTGTTTCCCGGTGCCGGGGACACAAAAATGAGCCAAGGACAAGTGAGACAGATTTTTGGGCCATATATGAGCCTTGGAAGCCATGTTGATGTCATTGCCTGATGTCAAGGGGTTTTACATGGTGTTACATACCAGTTTTTCTTCTGGTTTTCAGATAAAGAGATTGCAGAGATGGGTATCGCTCAAACTTAGTTGGATCGGTTTTTGTGTCAACATATATATATATATATGTTGTATATATACATATATATATATACATACTCATGCATACACATACACATACGTACACAGCACGAATCTATGTGTATACACAAATATGATATATATATATAGTTGTATTACATTTTATACAATATACTAAACGCCTTGTATATATATATAATAGTATATATATATACACCAAAAATAATATATATATATATACATTGTAGTATATATATACACACATTGTAGTATATATATACATCATAGTATATATATATACACACTATAGTATATATACACATTATAGTATATATATACACAGTATAGTGTATATATATATATATATACATTATAGTATATAATATATATATACATTACAGTATATATATATATACACTGTAATATATATATATATATGTCCTTGTACACATTGTAATATACCCTCTCCGTGGTTCCTTGGCTACGCCAATGCCTTGCTTCTTTTAAAGATGCTTCATTGCAAGGTATGGCTGTGAAAAAATATATAACGTAACGTAACGTAGCGTAACGTGAGGTGACGTAGCGTAATGTATGGATGTACGTATACATCATGAAAGCCATCGAATGCTTGGAAGCTGGCTTGACCTTGAAATTGTTAGTCCTCGACTCGAATTCAATGAGGGTCAGACAGAATTCGGCTCACGGTGTCTCGTTGCCAATCGGATGAGGCAAGGGTGGAAAAGCCAGTTCCGGCTTTAGAGAATTTAGAGCATCTTATTTAGTGCTGGTTGCTGGTGTGGTTGCTGGTGCTGCTGGTGTCGCTTACAAAATCGAAATACACAACAGGGCGAAGAATATATAATACACATATGGGGGTTTCCATAGTCATGGGGGTACCCCAATAGCTGGATGGTTTAGATATGGAAAAGCAATAAAATAGATGAGAGCTGGGGGTACCCCCATCTCATCAGGAAACCTCCATATATATATATATATCACACAGATTACACATAGTGTATAGAATTTATATCCCATACCACATGTACATCTATATCGTTTCACGTTTTTTTTTAAATGAAAAACAGGCTTTTGAAGCGTTTCATGGGATATACTGGATGCGCAGAATACATGGGATATCTACATATATATATATACACACACATATCTAGGTAAATTATAAGGACCTCACTGCAACCGAACCCTGGAATCATGGTTAGTAAGGGAAATCATCCCCAAATGGCCTTAATTCAGGTTAGTGAATTGATATAATTTACCCGCCCAGATTATGACTATATGGGATAAACATCCAGCAATGCACCGGACATTTACCAGCAAGGATATATCAGCAGATCATTCGGAAAGAATGGGAATGGGTCAAGTCATTGTTGGAAACAGCCAAACAGCCCAAATTGGATGGTTCATAGATTCTGTTCATACCAAAATCGTGACGCATACTCAGATCAGTGCTGATTAGAAGGTCAAAGCACGAGGTGCCATGTTACCAAGAGCTGGCACGGTTTTCCAGTGCTCAAGGGACAACCTTTAGGAATGCTGTTTTTTTTAAAAAAAATCCATCACATATTGGAGTTTCTATCGATTCTCGTGTAGCCTTTGCATGCCTTTGCAATCAAACTTCGCAATGGAAGGTCCATGAACCTCTTCATTTCTCTACATTTACGCATGATTTTATCATTTTTCCAATACCTGAGGGGAAACCAATTCTGAGAATCTCGTGGCATCGCGGTACGATACTCTGATTGGCACCGTGGCAGATCCATGAATTCGGCAATTCGGCTTCAGATGCATGACATGTAGAGACCGAGAGATACCAAGATCCCAAGAGGAGGGGTTCTCCAAAATCCACCAGCCGAGCAGTCCAGCATTTTTTGGACAACCCCGTGACCTTGGGATACCTTGGGATGCATGCGATGAAACGATGCAGACTGCATAGCAGATAATAGCACTCCGCAGTTGTGAAACTGACCGCGTTGCGGCAGAAATGACCGGAGATCACCACAGCAAGCGCTCGCGATACAAAAATGATGTAAAGCTTTACCCACAGATGGACACTAATGGTATTTTCCATGATTTTTCCATCATTTTTGCACGGAAAACACGCCAAAGTTGCCATATTGATGAGAAAAGGATAGAAAAGGAGGTTTTTGCAGTACTTGTAAATTGTTTTAAACCACTGGATTTTGGGGTAGCCATGGGTAGCCTATTTCGAGACAAAGCCACCTGGTGTTGGTCATGGTGTAAACCGACTGTGGGAAATCCCCGATAATCCAGGAGAAATAACTGGCTTGGGAAAATCATTGCGCCCTGAGCGGCCCACACACCCAGTTTCGATGTGTTATGTCAATGCGTAAAAACTGGTTATTTGGGAAGGTCATGGAAGCTCAGATACAACATCACCATCCCATTTCACCATTTTGATGCTATTTTGATGCTCCAAAATTACAGGTTTATGGCACTGGGTTGACCACATTATCCCGACATCTTTTTGGGCACCGAGTCCGAGTCGATGTGAATTCAAGGAGAATGTCGAGAAGTGTCGAGTCATCTGCCAGAGATCGCAGAAATGACACACTTAACAATGATATTTGGGATTTACTATTAATAATGGCTTAATAATGGTTAATGATGGCTTCATAATGGTTAATAGTATATTAATTTAAGGACACTTTTTTTGAAACACATTTACAATATCAGCAGCTGAAATGCTGAAATCTCCACACAGATTTGATCAACCAACATCAACCAAGCGACTTTCTCTCAAAAAATTCACAGCTTTTCACAGCTTTCCAGGTGGCATCGGCTGGCATCGGCCGTCGTTGTTCGTCGTCGCCATGGCGTATCCGGAGATGCGCGTGCCCAGGATTGATTTGTCCTCGCCACAGGAAGCCAGGCCGACGAAAAATCCCCACCGTTTGCCAAGGAACACAGGGGGTAGACTAAAGAAACATGTGGCTTACCCTCTGGTAATTTGTTACATAGCTATGGAAAATGGCCATTTATAGTTGATTTTTCCATGAAACATGGTGATTTTCCATAGCTATGTTAGTTTACCAGAGGGTATTAACCAACTGTTTTAGCTTGGAGTTTTTCGCCTTCTATTTTCATATATTTTCATATTAGGACCATGTTGACTGGATACTTACGAACATTTAGCCAAACAAATTAGTGCTGAAATGTGTACAAAGGCACAAATGGAGCTAGAACCCACCTGAGAAATGAGAAGTTAAGGAAGGAACATGGGGACAGGAGTCAAGCAAAACTTCATGCTGAACCAACATAAAGGTATATATTATTTCTCAACAATTGGGGTTTAAGCAAGCCAAATATATATATATACATATTAGATATACATATATATATACAAAAAATAATATCTACAAACATACTAACATGATAGAAGATGTGAACATGGGATTGAACTGCAGATGTAGATGAAATCAATTCAACTACTTCAATGGAGACTCCAAAGAGGTGAGATTTGGGACGGGGACGAGTCGGACGACATGTCGGACGATGTCGCGAGTGACCGATGTGGTTTTGCTCGGTTTTGCATAGCCCACTTATCATTAATTTATCATCCTATCAGCTAGCGTGCTTGGCATTTGTAGGCATTTTTCACATCTACCACTTGATACGCCATGATACGATGTTTGGATTGGTAGACGCCCACTTTTTCCTATAGGTTGAGATGATCGGAAATGGGTCCAAAAAAATTGACCCCCAACTCTGGATGACGTAATACCATTCTTCAATGTAATTCTTGACCCATGCCTGCATTCTGGAGTCCCTTGGGATCCCTTGGGTTTGTTTGAAATAGGCGATTTCCAACATCTGGTGAACCAAGATGTCCTTTTCGGCTGGAGTTCACCACTGGGCGCCCAAGTGTCCCCTCCAATGTCTCAGCATTTCTTCCTATCTCGCTTCCAACCTGGTTGGACTATGGGTTGGACCAGTTTTCGGCCCCGAAAAAAAAATCCATAAAATTCTTCCGCGGCGTTTCCTCTTGGCGAAGCCGGCAGACATTGAAGCCCCGTTTCTCGGTCGCATCGCATCCGTCGCATCCGTTTTCTCAAAGCGTGCATCGAAGGCACTCCATTGCGGTGGTCATGTCTCACCTCAACGCCTTGGATTTGTTCCTGGAGTTCCTTGGATTTGCTGCGCGGGAGACGCGAACAATTGCATAATATAAAAATATCATTAATATGTGGTGTGTATCTCTATATATATATGATTAAACTGATATATCCATAACACATATACATATATATATATATGATATATTATCATATATATATATGAGATATATCATATATGTATATATATATCATATATGTTACGGATTAAACTGATGGTGTTTCTCTGGTGGCCCGTCCCGACATTGATGGCGTGGCGAGGAACATCTGCAGAGGCCACTGGCAGTGGGGAAACAACTGGCAAGGTGCAGAGCGGAGCGGGTCAGCCCTTGGCGTTTGGAGAAATTGGGATGTGAAAACTGAAGTGACTAATGGGATGTACCCTCTGGTATATAAACATAGACCCTGAAAATCACCAATTTTTAATGGAAAATAGTCTTCCAACCCCGATGACTGCCAGGGTCTATGTTAATTTACCAGAGGGTAATGGGATACATAAAACCAATTTGATATCATACATTGGAGAACTGGGAGCTGAGAAGAAATATGGTGGAACATGGGGTTTAACGGTTTAACGCAGAAGAATGCAGGATTTCACTGACAGAAACCGGAACATATGAGGGGTTAACGAAGCAAAAATTAAAAGGGTGGAAATTTAAGGGTTGAACCACCTTTTTTGGGATATAAATTTAGATTGGGATACTTTAGCAACAATCTGTTCTTGGGTTTGTCTGAAAATGGGGGTTGATAACAAACCACAACGGTGAAATTATGGGACACGCACACACACACATATATATATATATATGCACAATTATATAATGGCGGATATATATATATATATATATACACAATTATATATATATATAATGATATATACAATTATATAATACATATATATATATATATAATTACATATAATGGGATATAGAGTCAAAATGATATATTGGGTTTCTACCCCAAAATGGTTATTCTGTAGTAGGGAAACTGATGATACACCATGGGATTTGTTGGGCACCCTATTTCCGGACACGCCCCAATGATTTGAGAACTGAGCAAAACATTCACCTTTTTCCAGTGGGGAACCAAGGAGCTACGAATAGAGTGTCCCAACCACATGTTAGTTGGAGTTGATTCGAACAACACTTTTATGTATAAAACATTGGGATTCCTCTCAATAATCTAACCCAGCTGAATGGGAAATCCCCTTTTTCCCTGTGAAAATCATTTATACATGGATATCAGCGGGCAATTTTCCATTGGCGGTTTGGAGTACCAGAGGCCATAGGGGATTTTAGTCAGCCCGCCCCTCCGCTGACATTTTGCTACACCGTTTTTGAACGCCAAGAGTGTGGGCAGAATGCAGAGTTGGGGCACTGCCTCCAGCATAGACACTTCTCGCATTGAGTTTAGACACTTTGACCAACAGTCACCACCCCCAAGAGTGGAAACCAAGAACGGAAGGGCCCCGTTCACGTTGAAATTTTCGCCGCTATGGCCGCCATGCCTGCGACCGGCATGCGCCGCTTCTGTGTGGCAGTGGTGGTGTGTCTGGGGGTCGGTATGGTGCACCGTGGCCTTTTGACCTTCTGCCCGGGCCAGAGCCCACCGGGCGCCGGCCAAGCACCACAGACCAGGGGAGGGCTGATGATGAGACATGCGGACGCCTTGCTGTTTAGATTTGATGTTTTTCCTTGGGGGTTCCAGTGGTTCATACACTAGAAGCGTCATCATAGAAGAGATATAGGTTCACATCACCATTTTTAGTTGGAAATGATATGGGTGAATTTAATTTGAATGGAACATATACTTATTCAATGCATCCATTTACCACGGGAAATCCCCAGTGTTTTGTTTTCATTTTTATGGCCCGGAAAACCCAAAAAAGCCAGGAAGGAACCACCATGGAGAAACCCAGCAGAACTGGGAGCCAGTGGCGTCTGAATGTGGGCCGCGCCCTGGATGTCTTGCGCCGGGATGTGGCCGGTCTCTTTAGCCGCAGGAACTACACACCGGATTTCTCCATCTACAGCCCGGAGATTGAGGTGCGAAAATCCCGCTTGGGATATATCGGAGATACCCTCCTCTGGTTATTTAACATAGCCATGGTATAGATGGCCCATTATTAGATGGTGTAGCTATTAGAAATGGTGATTTTCCATGGCTATGTTAAATAACCAGATGGTATCAAAAAAACCAACGGAGTTTTGAAGTACCAGGAAAAATTCAGATAATTTTTTGAGATTCCCCTGAAATTCGAAGTTGATGGGACTTAATATGGGATAGTCTTTACGAAAAATGGGGATCTATTTACCAATGATTTACCACCTATAAAATGGAGATCTGAGGTACATGTTTTTTTTTTTTTGTGAATGGGTCTAATCTATTCAGTGGGAACATATGTTGAGATGGGATGTGGAAACGAACAATGATTCGGTTGGATACAATCAGGACATTATTTTCATGGATGTAGATGTGGATGATGTGGGATACAAGAATACCAAGATGCTCCATGTATGGTATATTTACCTATATTTGGGTGATTTTTAGGGCAAATGTTGGTAAATATTCCATACATGGAGCATAGATATGATTTGTGTTTGGTACCCGAAATGTTGGGAAAAACAAGAGAATCGAATGGTTTAGAAGGGAGCCAGCAGTCATTGGACATGCCTAGATCACCGAGAAAGTTTGTGATCCCAAGGGATGCATCTGGCTTTCTCTTCATAGACGAGTTTTTCTTGGTCAAATTCTCATGTGTGTTGGCTACATTGATATTATAGAATTTATAGACGTATAACATATACATACATATATATATATATATAATATAATTATATTATATATACATCATATATCACATATCACATATCATATCATACATACAGGTTTACATAATATCCATATCCATCCTTCACCTATCCCTCAACTTCCCAAAAAGCCACGTGTTTTAAATACGGAGGTCACCGATGCGCGACTGCCCAGCTTCAAAATCAAGGGCCTGGCGAGTTATCAGCAGGTCTTGTCCACCTTGCAGTGGTCTTTGAGGACCACCTGTCACAGTAGCAAGCTGGACACCCGACGGAATTTCAGGAGGCGGTCGGAGTGAGGTCTGTGAGGTCTGTGAGGTCTCGGTGCAACATGGTGAAACTGGAAGTCATGCCACGGACCCAAGGTGAAATGCTCTGAATGCACACTTCTTTTTTTGGAAGCACTGTGGAAGAGATATCAACTCATCTACCATTCGCAGATGCTAAAACTGTGGTGGAAGACAGCGCGGAAGACACGTAAGATTAGACTCCAATGGGGATATTCTGTAGTTACTGTCAACATAGATTTTCAGGAAATATGTGTTCAAACCATGAACCACCATTCAATGGAGATATTCTACCAACGAAATTGGGATTAAACCAGCATTCTGCGTATGGGTCAATCGCGCCGCACAATTTAAGTCATAGTACCAACGGATCGTTTTTTCTTTTTTGGCAATAGTTCTAACACATTATTGAAAGTTCTCACCTAAGGACGAATCCTATACATATATATATATATGTGTATATATACATATATATATATACATGCTTTTATGTACATGTGTCCTTTTCTTTCAAAAAAACACATTATTTTTGTTGCATACCATTAACTGGGGAAAACGCTTCGTAATGCTCAGTAACACTTTGTAGCCTGGTCGGTGTCTTATCGAAACCAGTTTCCTTTCTGAGTTTTTTCAGCCATGAACCACTATTCAATGGGGATCTTTAGCAATTAAATACATTTTGACTACGGAAATGAGATTATCCACAACATGATCAGAAGTCAATCGGTTATCATCCCCCAAACAATATGCTATGGGATGCGACGGTTCATAGGGTTGTGAGGGATTCTCCATGAAGATGTTCTTTTCAAAACAAGAATCACCATTGAGTGGTGATATATGAGCTGTATGACTAAGACTGATATTTTATTTTTGGTTCCTTCCCCAGGGGGTGCATATGGGTTTGCCTCAAACTTGCAGGATTTCCAACCCGAATTTCATGCGGTTTTGTTTTCCATGCGCAAACAATGGATTGTACAAACCATTGGATAGAATGAAAGTTACATATTTTGAGATGACCCCACATAGTTAGGAGGTCGTGAAAATTAATGATCATGCTGGCTTAGTTCACTCATTTCTGGATGAGATTCTTACCTCATTTATACGGTGATACAGTATATATTTACATGGTGTTGCACTACTCTCGACAAATGCTTTGGATACAATTTCACCCTACAATTGAAACATTCAGTAACATTGATATCATTGTTTAAACTAACATATATATATATACATTCAGCAACATATACATATATTATGATAATCTATTGTATATCTAAAGCTCGCTTGAGGAAGCCATTGGTTCCTTACGTGATGTCCAAAGATCCGCATCTTAGGAGATCACCTCGATCACTCCACCGGTGAACAATGACATGTACCTTCGCTGGCGCCTGAAGTTGTGGTTCAAGGACTGTCCGGGTTTTCCGGGTGGGCCACTGGTTTTCCTGGGATGGCTTTGATGACAAACATGTCCTAAAAAGGTCCTGTTTTTAGCCATCCGTTTTTGGAGTTGAACATAGTTGAACAGCAGCTCTTATTCGTATGAATGACTTTCCATTTCGGGGATCATTATAATATGACTGTTGTGTCATTTCTTATTTCATGTTATTTCATGGATTTTACGCATCGCTGCGCCTTTTTCTCTGGTTGGGAAGTTCGACGATCCGTCCATAAAAAGCGACCAGGATGTGCGCTCTTGGTTTGGCATTGGGCAAACCCTGGGCGCTAGCGCCGAGATTCCCTTCATCGTTGAGGGCTACTCGAAGTACACCTTTGATCCCTGGTCTGCGGAGATAGTGAAGCACACCATTGACATCACGAATCCTCCCATGTATCCTGGCAAAAGCCTGCTGAGTCGACACTTTTTTCGTTTCCCTCTTTTTTTTCGAAGTAATCCACGATTTGTCCAAGGATTCTTTCTTTTTCACCAAATTTCAACAGCCTCAAAGTTGTTCAATCTTCGAACATCTTCGACTTTTGTCAGCCCTTAATCTTTCCGAGGTATTTATCGGATTTGATGGCGTCCTATGCTGCTCCCTCTTGGCTCACCGTGAGTCAGCCGATGCCCGGTTTGAGCGCCTGGCCCTTCGCCGCCGCCGCCGCCAGCGGCGGCGCTTTCGTCGGTGGCACCGCTGGCGCCGCGGCGCGGCGCGAGGGCTCCGGCTCCGGGGCCACGGGGGCCACGGGGGCCACGGGGGCCACGGCCAGGGCTGCGGGGTTTTCCTTTGGACTGCCTCAAGGCCTGTCGGAATGGGAATCCCTGGGGAATTTTTTGGGAATTCCATTCTGTTCCATTCTGTTTCTAGTGGGGATATATTTTGGGAATACTGGAAGGAATGAGAGATTTTTCTGGACCTGGATATGATGTAAGTGGGAATTCAACCCCCAGTTATGGCAACGATGATCAACCGCTGGAGTAGATCAGAATCAGAGGGATGAACATCCATAGCTAGATCAGCTGGGGTGAACACACTACCAGAGTTTTGGCTATGAAACATGCATGACAAAGGTTGTGAAGGTTTAGGCTGCTGAGAAACGATGAACATCGATGAACCATCGATGAACATCGATGAACCATGTATGGTGAAAGTTTTGGTGCAAAGTTTTTCGGTTTTCGTTACCCCACAGTTTATCAGAACGTTTGCCCCAGATTCTTCAAAGCACTTGCCAAGTACTGTAGAAGAGATGGGACAGTTTTTAAACTCTGATTTTCCGAGGCTGTGAAGATGACTTCGAGTGCAACGATGGCAAGGCAGGGTTCCAGTCATAAATATGGATCATGGCCCGGCAATAGTTCGATGAGTTACTGCTTTTTTAATGGCGATTTGTTTCACAGAGCTATGTAACCAATTACCAGATCACTTATTAAATGGTATCTTTTATTGTTAAAGTGGAGATGTCACCAACAATCCAAAATTAAGCTAGTTTTTTATTACCAGAGAGTATCTTATTTGGTATTGTTGGTGACATCTCCACTTTACGACCGTTTTTTCCAACCTCTGAGGGCATCATTACATGGGAGTTACATTCCAACATACAAACTTAATTACCATCTGGTTATTTAACATAGCCATGGAAAAGCACCAGTTTTAATAGGTAAACCCAGGTAAACCATCTATAAATGGCCCATTTTCCATGGCTATGTTAAATAACCAGAGGGTAATTCCAAATGAGTTTTCGGTTGTTTGCTGGTGACATCCTCCTTTCCGATCATTTCTGAATACCATTTTCAGTTATCTAAGTCTCTTTGGATCGTTGATGTTCATTTGTTATAGTTATTGGTTAAATATGGTTAGACCAACAACTATAGTTATATAGTTATTATTATTATTAGTATTGAACCAACAATTATTGTTCATTTGTCATAGTTATTGTTTCAGCCTTTCTGATTTCTTTTGCACCCCAACTCACTCCCTTCCAACTTTCAACTTGTTGGTCGATCCCCCCATGAAAAAACTGCTGTTTGGAAGGTTGGAAGTTGGAAGTTCTAGACATGATTTTGAGACGCTTATCCAGATCATTCATTCATTCATTCATCCATCCATCCATCCATCCATCCATTCATTCATTCATTCATTCATTCAATTTATCTATTTATCTATCTATCTATCTATCTATTTATCTATCTATCTTAACGTCCCCTTCTTTTGTTGGTTAAATTGTTAAATTAGCCATATTAATTGCGCCTACTTTTTCTTGATCAATACTGATCGTATCCCGCTTGTACCGCTGCCAGTGCCAAAAATCCCATGGTTAACTCCCTTTTTTAGCTCCCCGAGTCATGGACAATCAACTACTGTATAGTGACACGAAATGTTGAAATGTTGAAACCAACGATTCCTTCCCCACAGGAATTTTTGAGAACCCCCTGAAAATCCTGTAATTATTCATTTTGGGGGACGCAATTCGGATTAGGAAGGGATTGGATACCAACCGTCGCCGTTGCTGGCCAAGGTGGCGATATTTTATCGTATCCCATTAAGCAAATCCTACATCCCATCGAAAATCCATTCATACTCATTTGCACATCAAATCCCACTCTATCATCTGCCTTCAGTTTTTCTATTCTCCTACATCTTCTGTAGAAATCCCAGACATTTTCGAATCCAGCGACCCTTTAAAGGGGCCCCCGGCCCTCCGGCAGCCCAGGCCAACTTCCCACTGCAGTGCTGCGAGATGCCGCTGCTGGGGAAGTTCTGCTGCGAGCCGCCGGACTTCTCGGAGGGCGGCGTACGCAATGAGATGCCCGCCTACGTGCCGTTGCCCGTGCCGGTGGATCCCCTGCAAGACCAGTAAGTGATGTGGATGAGTTGAGTAGATAGGCTGAGTTTGAGTTGAGAGGTGGGGAGGGAGTTTGGGACTGGCTCGAAAAATGTGGACTTTCGTAAAGATCGCAGAGCTGGGAAAAAAGTCAGCAATGTGACGAACCATTTTGTTGGCCAAGATGGGACTTGAGGAGCGAAATCATGCTACCAAAGTGACCATAACTCGCCGTGTTTTGTACTTCAAATGTCCAGCCTCCGACATTTTTGAGCCATACCCAGATGGTACAGATGAAGCAACCGGTATTGTGGATCAGCTAAGCTGGCTGGACCTCCAGCGTAGAGTTTCGTACAGAGATCTGGGCAAATTGATCCATGGAATTCGATGTTTTTCCCCATCCAAAATCGTGTTTCTTCCATTTTCTTCCCTAGATTTTACATTGCCAGTTGTTTGGGTTTGAGTGCCGATTCTTTTCAGTGCTGTTAACTGCATCCGCCAAGATGTTGATTCCTTCAGAGTTATCCCTTTCCCCGTTCGCTGAATTTAAGGCACCCCAGAAGCCCAGGAGTCATGAGGGTCGTGAAATTGGAAATGATTTGCCCGTGGACACCATTGGACACCCTTTGAAGATGTTGGAGTTGTCCGCGAATTTTGAATTCAGACCTCGAGGAACGCCTCGTCAGCAGTTTCTCGAAACGTATCAGTTGTGTTTTCGCGATTCGTATCGCCCAAATAGACCGAGATCACTGGGTTCGCGAACCGATCGCCGCTGAAAGAATTGGTGAAATGGGTGAGGTGCTCTTCAGCAGTGACCCAGAGAGGTGATGAAAGAAGTTCCCTGTGGCATAGCATCAAGCATTGACCAGTCTGATGCTGAAGAGTGGCTATCGGTATAGGTACATAGAATGTATATAATCATAGAGACACCCGAGGAGTATATCTATGCTAGGATATAAACCATCTTTTAATAGATATCATGCTGTCAGTCTGTCTACAGATATTCTATCTAACATTCTATGAGTTTTTTTCCACTTGGGCATGCTTAAATCATTACTTACACCATCCCCAAACGCAGAACATCATCTAACAATGAAAGGAAGATGAAGGATCCATGTATACTGGTTGGTTATTTCAAATACTTTTTGGCTTCCCGATGATTCCAAATCTGGTCAAACCCACCACCAACCAGACTCAACGGCTTGTTGAGGTATCTCATTGTATCTCCCATTTGTGATGCCCGACCTTTCCCTGATGAAAAGATCCCATAATGTAACCGCTAGATTCCCATTGAAAAGTAATGCTTGCAGGAAGCAACTAGCAGATACTAGCAGTATTTTCTTCAGGGATACAATTGATATCAATTTCTGATATCAATCACAGGTTGGTTTCCACTCCAAGGAATCCCGTGATGTCAAGCCGCTTGTTCTAGCGGGATGGTCGTCCATATTCCATCGGAGTTGCCATGGGAATCCATTTCCATGATATATCATATATATAAAGCTCCATTAGTCGATTGGCGACCATCTCCCGATGTGGGTAGATCATCCAATTTCTGACTATAGTCGGTTATGTATATATATATATTATATTATATATATGTATTATATTATATATATACGCGTAACGCCTGGGCTTTGCCCCAGCGTTGCAGCGTAGCGTAGAGGGTTCCCATTCCCAATCAAATGTTGTTGCAACTTTACATTCAATTGGGAAGATCAACAAAGGTATTAGGGAATATTAGAATCCGACCCCCGTTGAACTCTACATTCCATTGGAAGATCAACAAGGTATTAGGGAATGTTAAAATCCCACACCCATTAAACTTTAGATTCAATTGGGAAGATCAACAAAGGTATTAGGGAAAATTAAAATCTACATTCAATTGATGATGATGATGATGATGATGATGCTGATGCTGCTGATGATGATGATGATGTTGTTGATAATGATGATGACGATGATGCGTTGCCCAACGTCGTTGCGGTTCGGGGCAAAGCCCAGGAGTTTGCTGTGTATATATATATATATGGTATGTATATATGTACATAAAGAAATATATATATATATGTATATACATCAGAAAATCCCCATGGGCCCCATAGTATCATATCCAATGAAAATCCTCATTATATGAGAAGCATCGCATCATGAAACGACTCACCATTTTAATGGTTAAATCCTAGCAACCCCAAACAGATTCTGAAAAGTAAGTTCCTACTAAAATGGCGATGAATTGCACTAAAAGTAAGCATCTTTTTAGGGGGTCACCTACAACTTGCCATTATATGATATCCCGATATTTTCCAGATCTCCGACAATTTGGGCGTTCTATAACTTTATCCCAGATATTTCATGAAAAGTCAGCATCTTAAAAAAATATGGAGGTTTCCGTTGAGTCATGGGGGTACCCCCAGTCATCATCCAGTCGTCAGAAACGATTATGACTTAGTATAGGTCAACAACCATGGTGACTCGGGAAATCCCCACGACTTTTCTTAAGCCTCAGTAAAATCCAACTTTCAGGGGATTACTTGGCAGATATTATTTATGCCAGATAAATGACTAGATATTATTTTGATGGTTAAATCATGTTAAATCCATCTAACTTGACCATGGCACCATGGCTTTCACCTGTCTCTCTTGGAGGCACTACGTGGTCCGACGGAGGCGGAGCAAGCTCTGGCTCCTACTACTACGAAGGCACCGGGGCCACCGGGGCTCTGGCGGGGCGGGGGTAGCGTCGGCAGAATGAATGCCGTAATAATTCTCAATGAGAAAAACCTGACAACCAACAACTATATATCGAACAACTAGACGCATTAGAAATATAACTATCATCTATATTGAATGAATACAATATCATCTTGACAATGAATTTTGATGATTAGATAATTACCAACCAACAACTATAGAATGAATGGGTTGTAATATGTATCAGTCAATAATTAGATAAGTAGATAATCATGGTTAGAATTGTTTTGTTGGTGCCACTTCCATGTTTTCTTGATTCATTGGCTATGCCTGTTCTTGGTGGATAATACCTATCTTATATCCTACAGTTGGTGCCTGCCATTTTTGTCGGTTGGACGCACAACATGTATTTGTGCCACGCTGTTGGTGCACGTCCTCTTGTTTGGTGGGTAAAGCCTCGTTTTGGTGTATCCCCATAATTTAGCTGTATGAATTATTGCTGACTATCTATTGTTGGTTTTACGCACATATTACTTGTACTTAATATATGGGTGCATATCCCATTCTTTGCTCTTTGTTGGTTTTTTGAGTTCGAACACCCTTTAAAAACACATGTATATATATATATGTATGTATGTATGTATGTAATGTAATGTAATGTAATGTAATGTAATGTAATGTTATGTTATGTTATGTTATGTTATGTATGTATGTATGTATGTATGTATATGTATATATACATATATAGGATATACGTGAATACATCTATGTGAATCGTTGCATTTCTGGTGGCTTTTGAGTTGTGCCCCAACGTGACGATGCTGGGTTCGTCATCGTCCAGGCCCACCGGGCCAATGGCACGCCCAGTCAGGCGGGCGCATATAACTTATATTGGATCTTGCCTTATACCAACAGACCAACAGTATCTAACTTATATATCTAACTTTTATATCTAACTTATATGTATATACTTATATATATAATATGGAAACATGTCAAACATTTATACTATAATTGAGATACTGCTTGTAACTTGTATAGATCTTACCTTACAGTGTATTTTCTTTTTACACACACGTGTATACCTAGAAAACTGGATTGTATTTTTTTCCATTATGGGTGTATCGCGGAGTTCTCGTTGTTTGTTTGAAATCCGTATTCTGCCCAAATCCACAATGGAATCTGCGCAGTTTCAAATCACAGATATGCTTCATTCAAGCGCTTGGAAACTCACTCAAAAACCTAGTGTGTGAATCTTTGCGTTTCTTATTAGTGGTTGCAGAGCTGTACCCCAATGACCTTCCCCAGTTATTCGGCTTTCTCTGAACATGGGACAGCATAACGAGTGGAATTCGGGGACTTTTCCCGTGGGTTTTCCAGGCCCACCGGGCAACTGGCAAACTGAAACGCAGTCAGGTGCTGCTAGTGCTGGTAGTGCTGGGCACTGGGACATGTAAATTTAAACATATAACGAAATAAGTCGTCATGCTTGATGTACCATTTTTGTATATGATATATATATATATATACATGTATACATATACGTATATACATATATATACATATATATATACATACACATATAAACATATATGTTGTATGCACCATTTTTTGTGGGAACATTTGTTGTACTTGGGATATATTGGGACATAGCCTGTTTGTGTTTGCAACTCAGGATCATCGTCGACTACGCATGCAGAGGGCCAATGATGGACTCCTTAAATCCATGTTGGATGGTCCCCTATGGAGGCTATCACTGAAATGGGGGCATTCCGGCCAGACCTGGAAATTGAGAGAAAAATCCCGAACACCCTCGATGCACATGCAGAGAAACTGTACATATGCAGATATGCAAATTTAACTCGTATGTACACACATGTGTACACATAGGTATAATTGTTGTATAACACACAGATATATATATATACATACATACATACATACTCATATATATATATATTAGTATATATCAATGTTTTTTCAAATACTGTAAATAGATAAGTATATGTATATATGTATATTGTAGATTTCTATACGCGAACGATTATCCCAACAATGACCATTGCTGCCCACAAAGTGCTTTCTTAGGCGAGCCTTGGAACTCTGCGTACGCTGCCGCGGAAGGAGGCAGCTGCCCTGATTTCCATCCAGGATGGTGATAAAAAATGGATCCCTTCATATGCTTCATATATTTTTACATCCTGAAGTAGATGGAATTAATGGAATTTTTCAATATAATTGGATTGTATACAATCCAATTTGGCGATTTTTTTCTAGTCCATTGATGATGGCAATCAAGAGTGAATGATAGTGTGGGGTGTCGGCAAAAGACATTTTTGTGGGTTACACAAGCTACACATAATAGGTTACTCAACGGTGATCTATATACCCCATTGTGTATCGTGGTTGTTTTCCAGCCAAAAACATGGAGAGCATCAGATTATTGAGAA